GACATTTTATATTGGCAAGAGGTAAAGAAGCTCTTTCCAGTCAGATAAAGCTTAAAAATAAGTTCTGAATCCAATTAACTATTACTTAAACTTGATGGTCTTTCTTAGAAGAAACTTAAAATGCATCTATCTGTAAATTTATGCAAAATAATAAAAAAAAAACTCTTCTATTTGATTGCAGGTTGCATAATATATGTATATTGAAACAAATCTATTCCGTGACTACAACCAACGACAGATAGGAAAGGACATCGATTTCCACATGAATTATATATTCCCAGAAGCAAGTAAAAGAAAACATGCCACCAGATTCACAAGCAGATTTGTAACTCCACAAGCACACTCAGATTATCACAAGGCAACAACATCCACCTGAATAATGCATATAAAATAATTTTCCGAGCAGGATGTATGATCATGTATAGAATTACTCAGGTTTTATGGTGCATGCAGGGTAATATTATTATCATCAAAGGACCAGATAAGTATGCCTATCAGCATAAGCTTGAAGTAGATCATTAAAAGAAACAAAGGTGGCGTTCTCCTCTCCTAGGAGATTGCACCACATCTGGATTCTCACTGCTTTCTCACCTGAAAACTAGCTTTCACTTGGCTATGAATTGGAACACATGATGTTTATCTAGTTGTCCAACAAGCATAGGATCTAAAAGACACAAAAGTTGTTCCATGCCTACGCTGGCAATACATAGATTCTGACAAATGGCACTGTATAAATACTAAATACACATGTAAAATGCACGTCAGATACAATCAATTAGAATAGGTAAAATAAAATATCAACTGTTTCCAACAGATACAACAAGATAATGAAAATTCAGAACAACATTATCACTGTAGACAATTTTGGAGCAAGTTTAAGCATTGTACCTTTCTCCATGCAATTCCACAAGCATTACATAAAGTTCGACGTCCCTCTGGGCCACTACGCATGTGGCATGTCAATTTTGCACTGATGCCACAGTTAAGGCATCTGGAAATGTAAAAAAGGCTGATCAATCATCAGTTCAAGACCATAATATATTTTTTATCATGTATAAGGTGCCTGCCTAACCAACTTCCTAAAACAATAAAAAGAAGATCCAATAGATAAATCCAGCAACCTGAGATGACAAACAGTGCTGAATTAAAATAGCATATAAATGTTGAGTGAAGCCTGATAAAAGATAAAAACTGATATAAACGTTGTTTGCAAATAGGGTAATATTACTGAACATTTTACCAGGGAATGCACTTTCTTGCGTTCTTACCTCCACATTGTGTACATGGATGAGGAAATCTGAGATGCTCCTATAAGGATCAAGAATGCCCGGACAATATGTTCAGCATAGCCAAGGGTTTGGACTACTACAAATGACACAAGGCCGAAGACAGCTCTATCCATGGTCAAAAGATGTTAGAGAGCTCCTACTAGCAAACAAGGGCTGACTACAAGTTTATTGTAATGTTTTTTTGTTTTTGAAGTCTAAAACAGCGGATCTTATAAAAGAAAAAAGGGTGATGGTGTGGGGTTAGAATAGCATCTTATACATAGGAAAAAGCTTTTAGGTGCTTAAAAATAAAAGGGTGAACCTGGTACATGAAGCTTCCACAAATACAAGGTCTGATGAGGACCGATATATGCAGCCTCAACCTAAGTAACAAGGCTTGCCCTCTAGGTTCTTTAGAATAGCATCTTATACATAGGGAAAAGGTTTTAGGTGCTTAAAAATAAAAGGGTGAACTTGGTACATGAAGCTTCCACAAATACGGGGTCTGATGAAGACCAACATATGCAGCCTCAACAACAATAGGAACAAGGTTCGCCCTCTAGGTTCTTGTAAAAGTAAATCCAAAAATGTAACATCTTCGATGAGATTCTAGGTTACTCTACCTGTAAAGAAGCCAGAATTGAGGTATTTCCACAGCTCCTCCTAGGGGTATCATTTTTATGTGCAATTAATTTCATTCATGCTTTTGATTTTCTAATGCCAGATACCAAGTCATATCCAAACAGACCAAAAGCAAAAAAAAAGGTATACAGTTTTAAGAGATTCATTACACGATACACTCTGACGGGAAAAGGATAATATGATACACCTCTGAGTTCCTCCAAGCACAGTTCAATGACTACAGACCAAGAAAAGAGGAAGTAAGACATGGTCTCACCTGATGGGTCCCTCCACCAAATCCTCGCCATTGCTGGGGAGGACCTCCAGGTCCTTATCCTGCTCGACCGGCATCCCGAAACAGCAACGGTAGGCGCCTCCAATGCCTACGGTGGGAATCAGAAGTCAGTGCTCCACCGTCCCATCCAGCGGTTTGGATCCTGGCCTACTTCTCTCGCATTATCTCACGGCAACGCCGGCAAAGAGGGATTTCTTTGCCAGCCGAATTATGGAAGCAATCGACCGATTCCTTCGGAATGCGAAACCCGTAAACTTCAATCAAGACGATGATCTACAGGAAGACCGGTATGGAAGAAGATTACCGCTGGAGAAGTTCTTGGGTTTAGGGTTTCGAACGAGCTAGGGTTTGTTCCACCCGGTTGGGCCGGCGGGGAAGAAGCGAAATAGGAGATCAGCTGCAAGTCGGCGTTTAACAAAGCGTGATAAAGTCATCGTGGCGTCTGCCACGCGTCCGTGGCGTCGTGATTCCGCCCCCAATTTGGACTTTGGTTTTCATTTCAGTAATTTTGACTAATTTTCTATAGCAACCAAAAGATCCATTTCTATAGGATAATTTTCTTATTAATTTACTAAGTCTAAATCATAATCACTGATTTAATATGTCTAAGTCATATTGATTAGTATACTAATTATGTTCTAATATACGAATTCAACTAATCCATCTTTTTCTTCACCCTAACTTTTTCATCATTTTCAAGTCATATTGACTAGTATACTAATTATATTCTAATATACGAATTCAACTAATTCATCTTTTTCTTAACCCTCACTTTTTCATCATTTTCAACCGAAGCTCATCTAACGGAACCTTTTCAAACAATAAACCCTACTTCTCATCATTCATAGGAAATGAAAGACAATCGTAACACTTAAGCAAGTCTTTTTTTTTTTAGGTTCAAGGCTCTTATTCTTAGAGACTAGATGCAGTCTTGAAAGTCTGAAGAATCAAAGAGAGTCTAAGTCTATTTCTGATCAACGAGATAAGTTAAAATAGAGTCTTAGTCCCTTTGATAACTTCATGAGGAGGGCTCCTCTCAATCAAACTATTCTAGAATCTGACTTGTAACTTTGACCACTATAAACCTTGTAAGAGGGTCTCATATAATGAAGAACTTGTGGCCCATGGTTTTCTTTGGGGTGTTGCATTATCTCTATTCCCTTGGAATATCATATTTTAACTCCTTTTGGAATATATCACAGAAGCCTTGGATCTAGTTCTTAAGACTTCCCAACTCCTTTATCCTGATCTTCTACTCTAGATTGTGGCTAGAGTCAATTGCCCTCTTGAGATTGATGAGGTTACCTTCTCTAGTTCAAGAGATAAGTTTAGTAGAGTTTATATTATGTTAGAATTCTTAATACAAAAAATTTTAGTCGAGGAAGGAGAAGCAGACTTCTTAGCTGTGAACAAATGGAAAAGCTCACCAATGCATCATTCAAGGTGTATTTTTAAGTTTCATCAATTGTTTTAGATATAAATAATAAAAAAAATAGAGTGCTTTAAGGTCGTATCCTTTATTGACTTCCGAAACCCTTCCCACCTCCTAGTTTTATTAGGAAGTTAGAGTACTCTTTTATTGACTTTAAGAATTTTCATCTTAATTCCTGGCTTCAAGAAAGGAGTTCTTAGGATAAACACTTTATTGCTGAGAAGTATGTGGTTCTTATGATTGAGTCGAAATAATATCATTCATCATAATCATAGGGCTAACATATTATCTATGTGCAAGAAGATGATTGTCATCACCTATGATTATTTTTAATATATCAGAGAATTAATTTGAGAAACATAAATTATATTGTCATTGATTGTGATGGTTGCATTGGGGATGTTATCAATTCATGGTGATATAGGAATTGACCATGCAACTATGGATCAACAATAAGCCTCATCTCATATAAGGCTAATTACAAATTACTCTATTTAGTTAGATCTTTTTAGTATCTCGATCATTAAACTTAATAAATTTGTACTTAAATCTTTATAATTATGAAAGTAAAATATCTAGTTTCATTTACCCTAATATAATTAGTTTTACTGATGAAAACCGGTAAGAGGTGAGGTTCGCTTTGCATCTGCCTCAACGCGGACACACTTATCGACGTCATCGTCTACCAATACATGTTAGAATGTTGAAATTATTTTTTTCCTCGTTGTTTTCATGTTTTCGTCGGTAAACCGATGATGTTAGGATAAATAAAATTAGATATTTTATTTTCATAATTATAAAAATTTTAATATAATTTTTTTAAATTTAATAAAAAAAATCTAACTATAAAAAATAATCTATAATTAATCCTCTCAATACTTAAACATGCTAAGAGGACCAACTTTCACAATATTTGGATCAAAACATATTCACACGATTTTGATTTTTTTTTGGTTCTCCTTTTGTCAAAGAAGCGAACTGTACTGCACTTCTTCTTCTCCAAATCCCATCAGCCTCGACAACCCAATCCAATCCTATCCTATCCTATCTAATGAAGTGATTTTTCTCTTAAAAGAAGATTGGCTGTGAGTGACCGACACCCGAACTCTCCCAAGCATTGTCGGCAACACAAACAAGACACTGTGAAATGGAGCGTTCCAACTTCTTCTTCTTCACTCTAAAGCAGCACTAATTTGCACCTGAATTCTTCTTTTGTTTCTTTGTCACTGCTATCAACATTACTTCTTCCTGTGCTGAAATCATCTATATATTGTCACAGTTCATTACGTCAGATTCTGCACTCCCATGCCCATTCATTTTTCACAATTATTCATCCAAAATATTACCATCATCAACCTCTAATCAAATTCAGACGTAGGTGGAATCAAACCCGAGTATCTATACATATATAATATACTCGTTAAGGAACCGGAAACACCGCAAGGCTACACATGACAAGTGCTTCCTGCCTCCGGAACTCGTCGACCCAAGCTGAGCCACGGCTGGTCTTCCTCCGTCTTCGCCACCTCCGAGCCGCCATGGACTTGGTATGGTGCCTTGCCCATCCTAAAAGTTCCAACAAGACAACCATGAGTCGGAGATCATTCGAACGCAAATCCACATCACGAGCAATAAGTGCGAACCGATCCTTCCTCTTCTCCAGGAATCGATGGAGGGAGTTCCTTCTCGCTATGGGCATATCTATCATCAACGAGAGAAAGATGGATGAGCATGATCCAAGGCGACAGCATACCATGGCCAAGAGCATGCAAACGGTGGCAATCACCAGAAGAATTATTGGCTTGGGGTTGCAGTGTCATCAAGTTGCAAGTGGTGTCTTTACTTGCCATCAGCATCAGATCCTTGGCTCTGTCCGCCGGAATATTGTCGAAAACCACCACCTTTCCGCCGTAGAAGACCGTAAACTGGTCCTTCCGTTTCTCCCTGGAGTGGTAGTCACATAAGAAGCTAAAGCTAGATAAAGGAAACGTACTGCAGATATTTGATTCTGGAGGTAGAATGACTTGGTGTTCGTAGCCATGTTAGATTCCTCCTTTGTTAGAATGGAGTTTTCAGCATGGCGATGGTGATTCTTTCCTGAAACATCAACCCCAGGTTCGAAGCTGACGGTGTTGGGCACCAGTGAATTCTCTGAAATGATTTGTATTGGAATCATAGGAATTAAGAAAACCAGTGAAAGAAGAGAGCAGAAACAATCAATCTAGTAGGAGAGGAAAAATGAGATATATATGTAGTAGTAGGAATCTGACCTTTAGCTTGTTGGCGAAGTGCAAGCTCGCCACGGTTGCCATTCTTCTTCTTCTTCTTCTTCAAGTATTGGCTCAAGAGTCTACATGTGAGTGAGAAGTGGGATGTCTTCCTCACTGACCTCTCTCCTCCCTGCACCATCTTCTCTCCTTCCCTTGTCTCTTCCGTCTACTCGTCTGTCTTCCTTTTATGTTTCCCTCCTTGTTCTGCAACAGTACGCTGGTCTCTCTGAATCACCTCGATGATGTGTCGTTCTCCCTTCCCAGAATCTTTTGTTCTGTAGCTCGTGTTGGGTTGTGATAGGTGAGAAACTTGGGAGAGAGAGAGGGTAAGACTAAGAATGATTTGGAAAGCAAACCACATGTTGTCTTCTGTTTCCTTATTTTCCAGTGGTGAAAGGAAGCCAGCGGAGGAGGACAGATTAAAAGAAAACATGTTGCCTGTCATCTCGATAGACAAAATCCACCTTGAAAACAACCCATCACTATAAACATAGAATCAAAAAGTCTATCCACATTCAATGTGCAAGGAGGAGTCTTTGCGGAAAAATATTTTTTAAAATTTCTAGAATGAATCCGAGTACAAGGAGGAGTCTTTGCAGAAAAGAAAATCATGATAATTAAAGTTTGATTCTTCTATAAATTTTTTATGTATTTCTAGGTTTTTATGAGGAAAATAAGATGTAAAAAATATTTGAAGTACTTGGGTGTTTTAGAGATATGTTCACTGAGGTTTCTAAAGAAGAGAAGAGAAAAAAATGTAAATTCTTCATAATTTATGTGAGAGGGCGTATAAGAAGATCATACAATAGATGAGATAACTCAAGAATCTTGTAATCGATCTCACGTAATAAGAAAATTAATTTTCTCCATTGACATAAGTGGAAAGTTAACGTATCACATTAATCTTACATCATTTTTCTCGTATATTCTCAGTTGTTTATCTCTATAATTTCATGTGGCTAAGTTCTTTTCTCCCTCCAACTTAAGCAATCTTACGTTCAGAAACTTTCAAATAGCTTCAAAGTAATGTAGGAAATTGAATCATCCTGCAGCAATTGTTGCCTTTGCTGCTAATGCTTGGTCTACGATCTTTTAGCCAAAGGTTGGGGATCGGTCTCCCATCATCGTTAACGAAAGAAGAGAAATGGTATGGAACATTAATTTAATTGGGAATTGCATGGCTATCGGTCAAAGCTAGTGAAGTCTTTTTCTTCTTCCTTCAATGTTAAGAAACAGCAAGCAATCATCTATTGCCGTTGACATATGCGAGGGTTGTTGAATTTATGGCTTCATTTATATATATATATATATATATATATATATATATATATATATATATATATAAATATAAATTAAGCATATAAATGTGACAATACCTGACGTGTTTCAACGTGTTGTCACCATCATTTCCACGGTGAAATGAGTTGATTCCTAAACCGCGTCCACGGTGTCCATAGACCTGATGTGGTGGTCGTTACCATCGGCGGAGTAGGGAAACGGGTTGAGGGCCAGCTGTGTGATATGGGAAAGGATACAGGACCATCAATCATCCGATCAAACGTATTTCCCGTTGGACCTAACGGATGACGAACTTACGGGCCTTGTGAAAACGGGAAAACCCTGAACCCTCGACGGACCTGGACAGCTCAGGGTCGCCACCGCGAAAATCCCATTCCAGTGCCCTTAGTCAAAGTCAACTCCGCGCCTCTCTCTCTTGCTTCCGCCTTCTTTCGTCCCCTCCTTCCTCCCGTAGGGCTTTCAAGAGGGAGAGAGGCAATCCGATTCGACGACACCGTTTCCTTTACCAATCCTGTCTTGCTCTCTTCCCCTCTTTCTTCGCTTCGATGGATGACGGACACGGAAGAGGCGCGACTCCGAGGCGCTCTTCCTCCTCTTCCTTCTCCGAGAACCACATCCATGCCGCCATGGCCCGCCTCGAGGAGGAGCTCCGTTTCGTACTGGAAAATTGCTCCAACGACATCGACGTCGAGTCCCTCGTCGACCTCCGCTCATTATCCGCCCGCAGTTCCGTGTCGACGGGTGATGAAATTGGCTGTTCCCCCCGCGATGAAACCGCCGGCGGGAGCGACTTTAAGGCAGAAAGCCCTCCTTCGCTGGCTTCTGCTGCCGCGGCGGAAGAAGCAGTGGGTGCGGCCAGCACTATCAGGCGGAGCAGCTACCGGTCCACTCGGAACATCCGCGTGGTCGACCTGCTGCCGCCTGACGCAGTGGAGGACCTCCGGGGTATCGCGGAGCGGATGTTCGCCGCCGGGCACGGGTGGGAATGCGCTCGGGCGTACGGCGCCGCCCGGAAGGAGGTGGTGGAACTGTGCCTGACCCGCCTCGGGGTCGATCGGCTCGAGATCGGCGACGTCCAGCGCCTCGAGTGGGAGGTCCTCGAGGCCAACATCCGGCGGTGGATCCGTGCCGCCCGCGTCTGCGTCCGAGTCGTCTTCGCCAGCGAGCGCCGCCTCTGCGAGCTCGTCTTCGACGGCCTCACCGACGATGCCCCCTTCACAGAGGCCGTCAAGAGCGCCGCCCTCCAGCTCTTCGGCTTCGCCGAGGCCGTGAGCACCGGCTGCCGCTCGCCGGAGAAGCTATTCAAGATGCTCGACCTCCACGACGCCATGGCCGACCTCCTCCCCGACATCGCCGCGCTGTTCCAGTGCTGTCCCTCCTCGAAGCCCATCTACACCCAGGCCGCTGAAATCCTCCCCAAGCTCACGGAGGCGATCCGAGAGATCATCTCCGAGTTCGAGACCGCCGTGCTCCTGGATCCGCCCAAGACCCCAGTCCCCGGCGGCAACTTCCATCCCCTCACTCGCTACGTGATGAACTACCTCGGCCTCATCTCCGACTACGCGCCGGCGCTCGTCGAGCTCATCGCCACAAGTCCATCAGCAAGCTCTCAGTTCTCCGACAATGAACCAGCCGCAGCCGCAGCGGCGCAGATCGACGTCCCGGAGCCGGAGAATCAAACTCCCTTGGCCGCACATCTGACCTGGATCGTTGCTGCTCTTCACAACAATCTCGAGAACAAGGCGAATCTGTACAAGGACAACGCCCTCTCGCATCTCTTCTTCATGAACAACCTTCACTACATCGTCCAAAAGGTAAAGGCTTCCCCGGAGCTCCGCACCATGATCGGTGACGAGTACTTGAGAAGGCTGAATGGGAGATACCGTCAGCTGGCCACAGGCTACCAGAGAGCTACCTGGGCGAGCATCCTCCACTGCCTCAGGGACGAAGGTATTCACGTGGCAGGCAAACTCTCACTCTCGTCGGGAGTGTCCAGGTCGACAGTCAGGGAGAGATTCAGGGCCTTCAATGCGGCGTTCGAGGAGGTTCACCGGACGCAGGCGATGTGGTTTGTCCCGGACGCCCAGCTGAGGGAGGAGCTGCGGATTTCCATCTCCGAGAGGTTGGTGCCAGCGTACCGGGGCTTTCTTGGCCGCTACCGACAGCACGTGGAGAACGGGAGGCATCCGGAGATGTACATCAAGTACAGCGTTGAGGATCTTGAGCTGGCCTTGTCTGATTTCTTTGAAGGGCCCCCTGCTTCTGCGAACAACAGGAGAAGATTCCATTGAATGACTTCATGACTTGGAAGATGATCTCTTTACTTCTTGCACATTTCCCACATGATATTGGTGAGAAACATAGATGATTTTTTTTTTCCTTACTTTGGGCATGTAATTGCAAGGCTTATTATGATGATCATCTCATAATACAACACATGATATGTTGTCTTAATGAAACTATCAACGATCAAGCAAAAATTAACTCAGAATTGATGAAAGAGTAATCATGTTCGAAGCAGTACTACCATGTGCTATCTATCCAACACCAACCAAGCAAGATAGCTTATTAGAACAAGTAGACGGATCCTCTTGGAATATATATATATATATATATATATATATATATATATATAG